GGGACAGGGCAAGAGGAAGCCAAAAGGTCAGGAGGGCAGAGCCCATCCTCAAAAAGAGGCAGGAAGCCCTGGCAGGAGGCCCTGTGGGTTACTAGAACTTTCTCAGCTTCTCCGCTGGGACCCCCTCTACTTGTGCTCCACTGCCTACAGGGAGTCATTTGTATATTTGCTCTCCATGTGAAGGACCCTCTTGTCCCTTGCTGCCCCCACCTAGTGCTTCTGCTCAGGTGGGACGCCCGGCCAGGAGAAATACCTGGTTGGACTCAGCTCCTCCTTCCCAGCCCCTCCACAACCTCCTGCACACTCTGCGGGTTCCTGAGGTCGACATGGGGAGGCAAAACAGGCTCAAGGGACTCAGGCGCTGCTCAGAGGCAGCTCCCTTTCATCCCCTGCCACAAAAGGCCTGTCACCCCAGTCTCATCCATCTTGTCCCTGCTGAAGCCCTTAGGCAGCTCTTTGTCAGGAACCAGGGTCAGAGGGCCTGGCTGGCATGTCCCTGTCCCCTCTCCTCTAACTCTTTTGCCCCCTCCCGAGTATCTTAGCTCTCTGAGTCTGGAGCTCCCAGGCTTTCTCCTGTGTCACCCTCTCCTGACCCCATCCTTTCCTCTTCTCTGGACCAGCCCCTTCTGCCCCACCCCGCTCTCTGCTCTTTCTTCTGTTGGGGCTCCCTATCACTGGGTGTTTCTCTCCCTAAGCTCCTGTGAGCATGGAGTCAGTATTTCCGGCTGGGGCTTCAGAGGCCCACCGAACCATGAGCTCTACCTGGGTTTTGTCTTCTCTGATCAAAGCTGTGCCTGGAATTTCTGGTTCTGACATCAGTGGACCTTTCAGCTCTGTACTGCTGTCTCTTGGGGTCAAGAGAGACAATGGCTTGTCTCTGCTTGTTTCTCTAAGAGGATGGCCTCTCCTCCAGTACCTGCTGGTGTCCCTGACCGACGTGTCGGCTCCCAGGCCCTGGGAGACTCAGTCTCTCTGCAGATGCCCTCTCTGGTCTCTACCACCCTCTCAGGCCCCTGCTGTTGTCCTTCGAGCCTTTCCTGTGGTTGGGCTCTGGAAAGTATGGGTTTCAGAGAAGCATCTGTTCTTTCAGAGGCAAGGATCTCACAGGAATTTAAGGAGTACAGGAGCTTCTAGCATTTTCTTCAGGAAAACTGCTGATTCTAGAAGATTCAGGTAATGGAAGAGGAACAAAAGGGAGCCTTCTGTTGGGGCAGCAGAGTGAGGTGGCCCCTTGCTGACGCAGTCTCCCATTCCATGACTATCACCTCCCTGTCATCCAGGTTGGCAGGCAGGAAGGAAAGGACCGAATCTGGCTTTGCTCTCAGGAAGCTTTGTCTCAGGATCACCCAGCACCTGCTCTCAGGGACCTTCTGGAAAAAAGAAAGACCTCTTCTTACTTCCTTTCTTAACTTTATTCCAGATTCATGTTTCCATTTCTGACCACACACTACCAGCTCCAGCTGACCAAAGCAGAATACCCAAGGCTATTCCCACACCTCCTGTCTTCTCACCCTCTGCCCTCCTCTCTAACCGAGTCTGTGCCCTTTGCCACATTTTTCTTCCCTCTTCTCCAGCCCTCCTGCCCACCCTCCAGCTCTCCCTTTCCTCCAGTCCATCTCCTCCCATAGCGGGAAGGAACACTAAAAACACTAACAGGGAGTCGTCCCCTTTAAATTCTATAGTACTGGTGTGGTCTTAACCAGAGGATTTAGCCTTGACCACTCCTGCAGCCCCGCAGCACTCCTAGCACAGATTTCAGTGCTTCTTTGTCTGGAGCCTTTATCTGCACAGTCCCCGTGCCTACTGCTTCTTACTCCCTAAGTCCTATAGACAACTTCTCCCCTGGCACCTGTGCCCACTCCAGCCTCCATGTCATCTGCTCTCCTGTGTTCTTTCTCTCTGCCCCTTTCCATCATAGCATCTCCCACACCATGCAACTATGTATTCATCAGTGCTTTTATTTTCTAATTCCCTATCTTTCCCTACTAAGGGCCATTACCTGCATGCATAACACAAATGCTATGAGCCTAGAGAGCTTTTTCATTTTGTTCATTCCCATGTGCCCTGAACTTAGCAGTGTACCCAACTCCCAGGAGACTCTTGGAAAACACATTTGGGGCCTCTCATTTCCCCACCCCACACTGAGATAGGCAACTTACCGTCCACAGGCTCTAGACACTGCCATCTCACTTTCTGGCCCCAGCCCTCTGCAGTGTGTAGCCCCTTGTGGGGTGGAAATGGGAGACCCTGGCCTCAGGCACCCTGATCTGTCTTGCAAGGAGAAGAGTCTCATCTCCTGACACAGAAGCCATGAAGCATGACCAAACTCAGCGCTGATGGAGGGAGAGATCACTTCTAGTTACACAGGATGCAAAGGGACTATATAGCACCAGTGTGAACTTTACTTTGTTCTTAATGTGGTAACTAAGGTAAAATCGTGCTTTATTTATGTATCTTCTAGAGTGCTGGAGATTAAGGCCAAGGTCTTCACATTGAGCTACATCTCCAATCCTTTTGTGTTTTTTATTTTGAGACAGCATCCCATTAAGTCACTAAGTTTCCCAGGCTGTCCTTGAACTTGGCATTCTCCTGTGTCAGCCTTCCAGGTAGATGTGGCTGCAGACTTGTGCCACTATGTGTAGCTGAATCATCTTTTTTTGAGGGCTGTCTATTGCTAAGTGTTACATGTTTGCTTCACTCTTACAACAACTTTGTGAAATGCTATTTATAACTGTTGTTTCATAGATTAAAAGCCTGAGATTCAGAGACTTTCCTCATTGGAAATTTGTTTCTTCCTATTCCTTGGTCTCTGGAGAAATAACCACAATGCCCTCCCTATTCCTTGTCCATGTGACCCAGGCCTGGCTCACCCATGGGTCCACTGCCCTACCAATAGGTAGTCCAAGGGACAGTCATGGGACCCAAGAAGAACTCAACTAAGTCTTGGCATGTTGAAGATATGGGCCCTGGGAGAGAATCATTGTTCTTTTTGGATGTTAAGTTATAACTTTATGGCATCTGCAGCTGATCTCCCATGATGTGGATAACATGTGACAGGATGAACATGGCCAATGCACAAAAGAATTGCAGGGACAGAGAGTTTTATAACTATCTTAGAAGCTTTGAATCCAGTCACACTGTTATGGATTAAAAACTGGTGGTCAACTTAATACCAGCTGAATTAAATCAGCATGATACTGAGCACAAATTGTCCACCTGAGGAAAGTTGCCAGCATAGAGACTTGGAGAAGAAGAGTGAGGCTTTGTGGGTTTCTCTAAGTGTTGCTGTTTTGAGCCATTGGTTCTCCTGGAGGAGCTTGATATGACTAGCTCTCCCAGTGTGATTTTGACCATTGTCATCGGAGGAGCTTGGAACCTTGTAGTGAGATTGGCTGTGGTGGGGCTGGGGATTTAGCTCAGCGGCATAAGTGCCTGCCTTGCAAGCAGGCAGTCGTGAGTTCGACCCCAGGTACCGATAAAAAGGAAAAAGACAAAAAAAAAAAAAAAAAAAAGAGAGAGAGAGAGAGATTGGCTGTGGGGGAGCTCTGGTCCTTATATCTGGTCCTTATAAGACATGTGCCCCTTAATCTCCAGGACAAACTTGTCATGCTGGCTTTCTGGAAGTACTTGACTGTTCCTATCGTCGAAGGAGCTCAGGACCTCAGTGTTGCTGATGTCTATGGTGCTTTTCAGGACAGCCCTGGTCTTTGTTATGAGTGTGACTTTTCAGCTCCAGTGTAGAACCCTTAACCTACCAGCACAGCTCCTTCACCCCGCTGGCATAGACTTTCTAGCTTCCACTGCTGACTTTTGGGTCCTCCCAGCACGGATCCATAAAAGACTGGTGTGAGTCCTTCTTATGGGCTCTCAACCTCCAGTTGAACTCATGGGAGGCATTGTCATGAACTCTGGGTCTTCATCTGGACTAATGTGGGACATTGCTGTGGGATCCAGGCCCTTGGCTGAATATTCTGAGTCTTTGGTGTTGTAGACAGATTTCCTCTGGGTGACCATCATAATATTATAAATTCTGAGTCTTGATTCTAATTGTTCTCCTCACAACCCTTGACTACAACACATATCTATATTTAGACCTAGCTAAAACTTCCTACTATCTAAAGCCTTCAATTACATTATTTTAAAAACACAAAAAACTAGGGCTAAGTAGTCAAGTAATATGTCAAAGTCACTCACTAGTGACCAGAAATGGCAAAACCAAGATTCTAATCTCTGTCCCTTCACTGTCATACTGTAGGGTGAGACAACAGGACCAAAGCCAGTTAGAAGCTGCTACCATGTAGAGCCAGATGAGCAATGAGCAGCCCTGTTCTGGCCCAGTACTGCATGGCAGAGTTTGAAAGACCAGCATGGAGTTTGGGGAGACTTGGTACAGACCTGAGTGTGGAGGCTCAGGGGAGGGGAGTTGAGGACCTAAGGATCTAGAAGGCCTGAAGGATCTGGAAGCTAGGGCAGAAAGGGAATGTGGGAGACTGTGGAGTAGGGAGGAGGGACAGTGGCAGAATTAGGCTTGTCTCAGGCAAAGCTGACGACCAGGATACGACCTCTTGCCGAGAGACCTGAACAGATGTAAGACCTCTTGCCGAGAGACCTGAGCAGATGCAAGGCTAGCTTGTGGGTGTGTATGATGATGATCCCTTTAGAACTGTGTGAGGCCAAGGCAAGGCCTTAAGTTGTTCACAGATCGAGAGTGAGGAGAGAAGTGTCACCAGAGAAGGGGTGAGTGTGTCACCATCATGGAAAACATAGGAGAAGGTGGGAGTCTGTTCCTCAGACCCAGTACTCTGCTGAGAATTCAGGAGAAGGAGACGGTTCTGCTGACCAGGATGCTCAACACAGGGATCCAAGGTTCAGGAGGAGAGGCCATGGAGGCAACCCTGGTGGATTCATTAGTTAGAAGGATGACAGTAATTTCACTCTACATTTCAAGCAAGACAAAGCTCAGGTAACTTATCTACCACTGTTAATGAGCCAGAAACAGGTTTTAATTTTTAAAACATTTTAATAAAATTAACAAATAAATATTCTAAACTGCAAAATCTATAGGACAAAAAGTGGAAGCATAGAGCCAGTCTTTGTCATTCAGCCCTCAGATGTCGGCATGGAAACAGAGTCAACTGGGGGCTCATCTGAGGGACTGCTGGCTGGGATGGGGGGAGTGAAGGGGATCTGGACTCTTGCACTCCTTCCTTTGTTGGCATAGGGGGAGGAGGAAGTGTTAAAGAACCTGCAAGAGGCATCCCAACAACCTTTGGAAGTGATAGGGTAAGGAGCAAGCTAGCCTAGCAGGAGGATGCAGGAGGAAGGTGGCAGCCTGTGGCTGTGAAGCAGGAGGAGTAAAGGAAGTGGTGGCTCAGGCAGCTCTTGGGCCCTAGCCACTCACTCTCGGATGTAGACTCTGGTGCACACAACGTCATCTGCTGTCATGGTCTGGAAAGACAGAAGTCATTGTTACCCTCGGCTCCTATGGTTTTGGAGAAGAAAGGCAGAATGGAGGTCCAATGCTGCCTGTGGTATCAAGACCAATGGGGCAGAAAGGAGCTGCTCCTAAATGCCCAGCCATCACTGGGTAATCAGATAGGGGCCTATCATCCTCCCAAGCCAGGGCATCCACCTGGAGAGCTGTAGCTCCACACAAAAAGGAAGGGACTTAAGCAACCAGCTTGCCTCCCTAATAAGCGGCTGTGGTACGCTGTGGCTGCCCCAGGGGGAGAACCACCAATGACTCCTAAGATCCACACCATGTTGAAACTTAGGGCACTGGGAAACCAAGCAACCAGCTTGCCTCCTTGCTAAGCGGTATTGAGCCTACCAGCACATGGGCTAAGAATCAAACAACCCACCCCTCCTCCCTCCTGTCCCCACTCCTACCCTCACCCCCATTAGCAAATGGGAACCAGAGATCTGAGCATCTCTTGGGAGGTTGACCATATGCAATATAGCAAATAAGGGGGATTTCCTTCTACCATCTCTTTGAAGGCAAATATTTTTCCACTGTTTTGCTTTACTCTGATTAATGGTATTGATCTATTCAATATTCTGTTTTGATAAGTTCTATATTTCATTTTATTTTGCTATACCTTATTGAAAGAACAACTATTGTGAAGATAACAAGATATACTGTGGTACCTATTACTGTTATCCTGGTAACCTGCTGTGAAGTTCTGTACCAATTTCACTACACTGTCTAAATTGGCTTTGTTCCATCTCTTTCTGTTGTATTTTATTACCTTCAAAATAATAAAAAATGAAAAAATTTTTTAAAAAAGGAAGAGACTTCCAAGCTATACTCCATGTAATGGGGCTGGCCTTCAAGGAGCCCCATCATATTTCCATACTGGAAATCAAACTCAGGACCTTGCATTTGCAAGGCATGTGCTGTTCCACTGAACTATACTCCCAGCCCTAGCCTGGTGGCTCTTTGAAACTCTTGCATCCTCAAGTCTCCCAAGAGTCCCCAAAGGTGGCCCTAAATTTTCTATTAGTCTGGAGGAAGTGGGACTCACCAGGATCAGCTCTCCATCATTGGTGAGTTCTCTGGTCCAGGAGGTCTTGGGGCCCTCTCCCTTCAGAAGCTTCTGCTCACAGACCATTTTGTTCTCACTCTCCCATTTCACCAAGCTCTGTAAAGGACAGGCGGTCAAGTGAGCTGGTCCTATCATAGAGCCATGCAAAGAAGGAATAAGGGACAGATTCCCCTTAGAGGTTGCACCTTGCCTAGGGACTTCTCTGTGAGAAATGGAGAAGAGAATCTAGGAAAGACTGGTGGTGAATTCATGACCTCCAGGTCTGTTCCTGGCACTTACCTTACAGGGTCTCCCATCCACAGTCTGCTCCTCAAACTCCTCCCCAACCTTGAAGTTAATCTCGGTGGTGCGCACCGTGGTAGAGGTTTTGATATAGAAAGTGTCTCCTTCCTGTTTGATCTCCACTGCTGGTTTGGATGCAGCGGCCACAGCAATCTTCCTCAACATCATGTTTACACCTACAGAAGGAAGGGAAAGATGTCTGCTTACCTGCCTGCTGTAAGACTGCTAGGGCAGACTCATCTGAGAGTCCTGTCCTCCTGTGTCAAATCTGCAGGCCTGAATCAGGCTCACTGTGTCCCAGCTCTTCACTCCCCGAATCCTCAGGAGCAGCTCTTCCATACACCACTTCCCAGCATGCATCCTGCTAAGCTCACTGTGGCTCTGTCCACTCCGGCCCAAGACCCTGTATTAAGGTGTGCTCACTGGAGTCCCTGGAGCTTCTCCTTTGTTTGGGTGCAGTCACCCAGGAAGTGGGGTCATCTCCCTCTGCCCTAACTACCCACCTTGTATGATGCTAAGTAGGTCTTCATTTCCCCAATCTCTGTCCTTCCCCTAAACAAGAAGCAGGGATTGTCAGCAAGGGAAGAGAATGGCCAGCTTGCCTAGGAGGCTGAGGCTCTAGAGTAAGACCTGTGATTTTTTCCTGGCTTAGTCGTCTTTTAGGCTGGCTTCCTGGCAGGCTGAGCAAACAGCTTAACCTCTCTAAGTCTTCTATCCCTCAACTGTAAAATGGAAGTAATGGCTTCTTCAGACTCCCTCCTGCCCTGAAAAAAGGGGACAAAAAGGGACATAGCCTCCTATCCCTATCCTGCTGTATCCCTTTCCTAGGATCCACACGGTCTTAGAGGTAGGCTTTCTGCCTCAGACTCTATGTGCCTGGGTCCACTCCCAGATGAGACCTCTCCTCTGTTCTCCAGGTATGAAATGGGGAAGCAGGTGGGGAGACAGGAGGGCAAGCAGGCTGGGGAGCCTGGGGATAGCTGGGTCTAAGTTCCAGTCCACCCCAGGCTGTCTGATGGGCCGAGTAGAGCTCTTCAGGATGTGATTGGGGGTGACAAACAGCGTTGGTCAAACTACTGGCTCCTCTATACCTGGGTTTCTAGAGAAACAAATTGTCTTTCACTCAACACCAAACAGAAAGAAGAGGGAAAAAGAAAGCCCTTTTCCTTGGGAACCCTGGAGCTGGGGTTTCTTCTTCTCCTCCTCCTCCCCCTCCTAATCATCCTCTTTCTCCTCCTCCTTTTATGTACATTGGACGTTTGAACCCAGAGCCTTGATACTGGCTATATTTCCAACCTTTAAAAAAAAGAAGTATATATATATATATACATTTTTTCTTATAGTACTAGGGATTGAATCCTGGGCCTCGACAATAAGCTATATCCCCAGCCCTCTTATATTTAGACTTTTTAAGGCAAGGCCTCACTCACTAAGTCACTAAATTGTTCAGGCTGGGTTTGAGTTTGCCATTTCCTGCTTCAGCATCCCAGAGTGCTAGGATTACAGTATCACACCTGGTTTACAGCCCGCTACTGCTGCTTACACTCAGGTTCAATTAACCTAATAGAGAAGACTCATCTTACTTCATCTTCTGGTCAAAGAGGCTGCCTGGAAGTTCAGCTCATTAACACCCATCCTTCCTGTTACAATAGCAGAATCTGTTCTGTGGGCCAAGACCATCAGGTCAGACAGATTTCCCCCAAACACCTGAGCACCTCTCACCAGGAGAAAGCTGGGAACAGAGGCATGAAGGGCCCAAGAGAGGGAAGGTCAGAGGAGGCAGACCGCTAGCCAGCCCCCTCAATCAGCCAATGCAAGGGGCCTGGCTTGTTGACCTGGGGTGACTTGGGACAATGTTTGTCTAAAGGATCTATTTCCAATCTGCTCCCTAGCAGGGCCTGAGAAGGGCACGTGGCTCTGAGAGACCCCCACAGAGAGGACAAACAGTATCAACAGAAAGAAGGGTTGGGCTTTGGGTCTTACTCTCCAGCTGGGGTCTGGGTGTGTGCCAGGCTCTGGCCTCATCCTGGAGAGAAGGGCCAGAATCCAGAGCAGATGGGGGAAGAAGGGGCATCTAGGTTTTTGAAGGGAAAAACCTCTATTGTTTGGTCTTTAACTTCGGCAAGGGCAAAGCAAGAAAGACTGACAAGGGGCTGGGCATGGTGACAAATGGCTGTAATCCCACCACTCTGAGAGGATGAGACTAGAGGATAAAAAGTTTAAGCCGAGGCAGAGCAATTTAGTGAGCCCCCATCTCAAGATTAATAATAAACAAAGACCAGAGCTGAGGGTGGTGGCACATGCCTGTAACCCCAGCGCTTGGGAGGCTGAGGCAGAAGGAGCACCATGAGTTTGAGGTCAGCCTGGGCTACATAAATGAGTTCAAGGCCAGTCTGGACTACTTAGTGAAAAGCTATCAAAAAGAAAAGAAGAGAGGAGAGGAGAGGAGAGGAGAGGAAAAAAGAAAAGAAAAGAGAACCGGGAGATGACATAGGAGTGTGCTAACTCAGAGGCTCAGGGCCCCCAGGTCTCTTCCTACCTGCTGGGCTCCTTCACTAACACTGATCTTCTCCAGGGTTTGCCTTTGCAGCCATCAGGTCCTGACTCTCCCCTTCCCCAGACTCCCTACCTCACCCCTTAGGGCTGGCAGGAGGTGTGTTGGGAAATGTTGGAAGGGCCTTCTCGGTGGACACAGCTTTCCCCACCTTTGACTAGCACACGCAACTGCGCTGGGGCAGCTGGTTTCTGCCTAGAGGGAGTAGAGCCCTGGATTTTTGGACATATGGATTAGAGTTTCACACAAAGGCATTTGTTGAAATCCAAGAAAGTGATAATTATCCCGAGCGATTCTAGGACTCTGGAGCTGCTTGCTGTAGGAAAATATTTGTCTCATAGATCCGGGTGGGGTGGAGTGCAGAGAACTGAGTGAGAAGTGCAGAAAGGGAAAAAGGAGAAGCGCTCGCCTTTCTGGGGCGCGGGATCACCTGGTGGGCGGAGCCGAGCTTAGCCGCGTACAGAACCTGCCCAGGAGATTGGGTTACTGGAAGGGGCACGGAGCGGGAGATTGGAATGTCTCGGAGGAGTGGCTAGGTAAGGACTCCGTCTCTGCATACGAGGTTCGGTGCTCTCTCAGTCTGCAATATCTACACGGCGAGGACCCAGGTCCCTCGATCAGGGGATGCAGGCGCGGGGCTAAGCCCCTCCAGAGATCAACCTCGTGCTTCTGGTTTCCGCTCGATTCACAGGCTCTGAGTCACCGCTGGAGCGGGCACTGGTGGGCGACCCGCCAGGGAAGGCAGGATCAGGGTATCCGTGGGATTCGCGCACTGGGACCCACGCGTCCAGCCTCCCCTTTTCCAAAGATGTGGGCGCCCCAGGCTCTGGCGCCCAGACCCCGGCCCGCTTTCCTTTCTCGGCCTCACATCCTCACTTCCGAGGACACCAGTGTCATCTTACCTCTCCCGGGAGCTCGAACACTTCCTTACCTAGCACTTTGAGCAAATCCTCAAAGTTGTCCGACCGAATGATCTTCCAGTTGCCAGAGAAATTGGGCATGGTGATGGAGCGTGTGGAAGTCCCCTCTGCTAGAGCACTGGGCCCCCAGTCCTTTAGTCAAAACAGACGTTGCCTAGTTTTCTAGTGACGTTCAGAAGCCACAACACGGCCAACCCCGAGCTGGCCCGGGCTCCCGCGCCACAGCCTTTATACCCTGCGCACCGCCCCTGCCCAGAACGAGACGGCCCCGCCCAGCCCCGCCCCCACCCACCTGGGGCCCGCAGTCCACCGCCCGACCCTCTTGCAGCCCCGTTCCCAGTTTTGATGTCTGACCTCAGGGTGGGTGCAAGACTTTCTGGGGACTGAGACACCCCCATCCTCGCGCCAGGAGGCTAGTGGGGAGGCTGGTGCAGAGGAGCACACGATGGGCCTAGGGAAAGAGGCGCTGTTCACCTCTGTGACTCCCCACCCATGCCCACTTTGACCGCGCTACAGAGTGAACCCCGAGCTCAAGCTAAGACTTTTGTGCAGCCGAGTTCGGGCTTCACCCAGTGGGACAGCTCCGAACCCTGAAAGGGGTTGGGGAACCCTGGAGTTCGGTCCAGCCCTGGGGCCTCGGAGTGGGGCCACTCAGTGGTGCGGTGGCGCCCCCTACTGGAGCGACTGGAAGAGGCTGGGAGGGGTTGCGTAGTCCCCTCCGCCACCCAGTTTCGCCACAAAGTCTGGGGACGCTGCAGGTGGGCGCCAGAAGGTTCACCCCCCAGAGAAGGAGAGACAGCAAAGGGTTAAGCAGCAGACCGGGTGCGAGGCTCAGAGGGCAAAGGTCAAGCCTTTAAAGCTCTTTAAGGGGCGCTTTCTTCCCGCCTGAGGGGTCCTGGTAGGCGGCGGGGAGGAGGCGGAGACCTGGGCGCAAAGCCTTGAGCGCCACGCAGCCCTCGAGGCGGGCAGAGGCTGGGTGCCCGGGGAGGGGCGGAGCGGGTCTCAGGTGTCGCCTGAACTGTAAACCTGGCAGAAAGAGAGGAGGCTTTTCCGACAGCAGCTTTGAAGTGGGAGATCAAAGGAAAGAGCTCAGCACAGCTTCCCGCGAGGCCCTAGTGGGAGTGGGCTACATCTCCGTGTCGGGCCCACGACACAGCGGGCCGACAGGGACGGGCAGAACTTTGGGAACGGGCGAGAGAGCCAGCCCGGGAACCGTAGGGGGCGTAGCCGGAGGGCTGGAGAGCTCCCCGTTAGTCCAGCGCTTAGGGGCCCCGTGCTCGCACCCGTCTCGTAGGACCCCTCCCCTTTCTGCTTTTTCTTAGGCAGGATGGAAAATCCTCCAGACAGTCCCAGCCCCGGGCATACTGCAGCCCCCTCGCCAGCGTGGCCGAAGGCGGAGCAGGCTCTCCGCCAATCCCGGGCCTCAGGACCCAGAGATTGTCTAGGGCGGAAGGGACATGGAGGAGGGGGGTTACAGGGTCTACCTCGGCCTCACGACGTGGGGGTTGGTGCCTCCGGGCTAGAGGGAAATCTGAAACATGGGTGTGTGGGAAATGAAGACAGCTGGGCTGACTGCAGCGGCGGGATGTGGACCTCGTTGTGAGATGGGATTTCCAGACAGTCCCCACCCAGTGGTGGTGGATTTGAGCGAGGGAGCAGGACTCGTCAGCCTGGATTTAAAAGGTCCAACCTTTAGTGTACGAAGGCTGATTTGTGAGCTTCTGGAAGAAGGAAGGCAGCAGGTCGAGGGGTCTCTGGGGAGTGACAGGAGCAGCGGTAAAGGAAAGAAGCCTGGAGAGCGTTAGAGACTGGGGCTCTGAGTTTCTCCCCCATCCTCCCCGCTCAGCATCGATGTAGGTAAAGGGAGGGGATTAGGCTCTGACAGTGAAATCAAGCTCGTAGCCAAAGGGATGAGGGGAATCTGGAGGAAGTAACAGGGCAGAAACTAGACTCCTGCTGCCTCTCCCCTCCCCCGCCCTGCCCGCTACCCTCTATGACTTCTACTCAGGTCATTAGGTCCATTTCCCTTTGCTACAGTCCCTGAAAACCCCCAACCCAATTGTCCTGTTCAGTGGGCACCCCTCCTGCAGGAGAAGAGGACCTGGCAGGCCCTCACCCACAGGGAGCCTTGGGACTCAAGGTGTTAAATCCTCACTGGTGTGATTTGTTCCCTGGATGCTCCCACAGGTGGCTTGGCTAAGGATACTGGGCTCCCTGGGGTGGGGACAGGGTGGTCTGAGCCTACAACCTTCCCAGCACTGCCCCTTTCCCCCCACCGTCTGACTGGCCAGGAGTTCCAGAGACAGAAGTAAGACAAAGGGAAGCTGGGCTGGGAGGGAATTCTTTCCACATGTGTTTGTGGTTTGGCAGCTCTGGCCTGAGCTCTAGCCCCAGCACCCCAACTCTGGCTGAATGAGGAAAGTGAAGGACTGGAGCAGGGTGCTGACTGATTAGCTGGGTCTTAACCTCTAGCAGCCCTAGCACCCCAGGGGAGCAGCAAGCTTGTAGGGTAGTTCTTAGGAGAGATGCTGGGGAAGGGAATAAGGAGGCACTGAGAGGTGGGAGATGAGAGAGCTGGAGTCTGAGAGAGGCTACTTGAGAGATGGATAGGGACCCAAAGGGCAAGGGGCAGGGGTGAGGCCAAGGGAAGGAGCTTCAGTTAACATCCACCATTTAATCACAAACAACTGGCTTTAATTTCCCACTGGGATCACTAAGGAGAAGGAATTTCCCAGTGTCACTGGCCTTTTAATTATGACCAAATCTGCTGTAGATCTGCCTGGGGTGACCCTTTCCCCCTTTTTAAGGGCCTTGATCATAATCCTCTTGGGGCTCTCCCAGGAATTTGGAAGCTCAGTGTGGGGGAGGGTTTAAAATTGATGAGGAAAGCTAAGGCAACAGAGACAGAACAGGCATGGAGTGTAAGGACACAGACCAGCTGAGAAGGTTAGGAAGGAAAACTTTAGGACTTTGTCTATTGTGTTATGGCTGGTTTTACACCAGCGGGAGTGGAGATGAGCAGGGACTGCTTCCAGCTGAGTGAGTAAGGACAGGCCAATGTGTGCACAATTAAAGGGTGTGGGGCTTGGAAGAGGAGACAGCCACACCCTAGTCCATCACTGCCTTGAGGCAGGAGTGAAGTGGGGGCAGGGTGAGGGTAGGGAGACCACCCAGTTCAGCCTTGGGGAGGGAAGGGCTGATGGGAGAGTCATAAAGTAAACCCCCACCCCAGGTTTTCTGGCCAGTGTCAGCACTGTGGAGAGTCTCCCTTATCCCATCTCTGTTATTGCATCTGCTTGGGCAGAGGCTTGGTTGGCTGAGACCCAGGTAGAAATTAAACCCAGGTGGAGCTGGACAACTAACTGGGACTCTGCAGAGAGGGCCAGCAAATAAATCAGGCCTCCCACAGGAAGTAGAGCTGGGAGCCACTGGGATAAGGCTGTGTGTCTCCTGGCCACCCTGAGCCCTCTGACTCCACTCAGCGTGGTGAAGTTCAGACTTCAGCGTCCAGCCTCCCTCCTGCAGTTCCCATCCTCAGTGCAGAAGGAAGGGTTGCATTCTTGCCCGGCTCTCTGGCATCAGGGGCCCAGTCCTTCTGAAATGTGGTAAGGCCAGGCTCTGATTCACCCAGAGAAAACTGTCATTGTGGCAGCATAGGGAAATACGAAGAGACTGATTAGCTCCTTTCTGGGAACATTTGTGTGCAGGGGAATAAAACCTAGGACTAGCAAGGTGAGGGCAGAGGATCCCAAGTGACCTGAAGGGAAGTGATGACAAAGATGATGGCCATCTCTAGGGCTAGGCCAGGCCTGGCAAAGGAAGGCAGTTGAATGTGTGCCATAGACAAGAAGAAGGCTTACTGCAGTGGAAGGGTCTCAGGCAGGAAGGTCTGCACAGCACCCAGGCGGCACATCTGTTGTTCTTGGCTCGGCCACCTCATTCCCAGCCCCAGCTGCCAACGCTCTCCTTGGGGCTGGGCTGGGCCCCTGAGCCAAGAGAGGGAAGAGGAAGAAGGAGGGGTGCACTGGCTGAGGGCATGTCCAGACTGAATCTCAGTCCCCTGGATGGAGACGGTGACCTGTAGTTAAACTCTGCTGGTTTTATGATCTGGGTCCTAGGATAAGACCCTCTGCCTTTCCCATGGCAACTGTGGCTCTGCACCAGCTTCTTAACCCCTGGCAGCCTAGAGCAGGAAGCATAAGGCTGTGGCTAAGGCAAGTGTGGCAGGCTGAACTCCTGGGTCTGTGTGGCAGATGGGGTAAGTGGTGTTCCCTAGAAAAGATACACAGCCTGCAGCCCAGCCTCCACCCTGCCACTGTGGCCCAGGGTGCTGGGCCTGAAGAACATGGCTACCCTCCTGACACCTCCTTTCCCATCCTCTGAGATGGGAAATGAAAGAAGATAAGGATCTGGGGATCTCCCCCAACTACCACCTCCCACACCAACTGAGATGATGTGGAGTTTCTGGTGGAGGAGGAGGCTGCAGGCTGGTGGGCACTGGGCCAGATAACCAGATTCTGGGAATGAAGAGGAAAGAGGAGAGAGGAAGGGGAAAGGCAAGGTCTCAGGGAAGAGACAGACAAGAGCCTAGACCTGGGCTTTGAAGTTCTGGATGGAGACAGAAAGAGGATGTTGGAATCACTGTCCTTGAGGCAGAGTAGGAGTGGCTGAGAGGTCAGCCACTGACAGACAGTCATCAGCTCAGGGTACAGCTCACCAGGACTCCTGAGGCTTCTAATTCCCTCTTCTCTTAACCCTCCAAACGTAGCTGCTGTCTGCAAGCAATGGGACCCAGTAGTTTACCCCCCACCCAACTTGGCTGCCAAGGGCCTATGGAAACCAGCTGTTTTGGTGGCTCCAGGGAGAAGGCTAGAGCCCCCAAGAGTTTGGTAACAAGGATCAGCTTCCCCAACCCAGGCCCTTCCTGTGCAGAGCAGACTTAGTCTTTGAGGCCAGTAGGCCAGATTCCCTGGAAACTGTCAAAGGCATGGGGGAATTAGAATAAAGGTGAACCTTTATTCATCCTGAGCAGCAGAGATAACAAGGGATGCAAGAGTTCAGAGTGAGGCCCTTTAGCCAGGCTAGGGCCTTGTTCTTCCCGTGACCCCTAGCCCACCCGACCTTTCAGCAGAGCTAGAGAGATGAGTGGGTGGGAAGGCCCCAGACTGACCTAGACCTAATGGCTCTCTCTGGGCAACAAGAACAAAATGGGAAAAAG